TGGGACCATTATCAGATAACGTCAAACTAAAAGTCGGTTCCCTAATTGAGATTTATAGGTTATCAGGATATGTTCTCCAAACAAAAGGTAATTAAGATGTATATACTCTAGTATATTGAATCCATTTATATTACTACACTAGATACACAAGTGAAGAGAAGTTGTTTCCAATGGGTGCAGTTATGGGTGAGCTGGTAAGCAAGGTTGACAGTCAACTTCTCTGCAAGACAATGATCTATTTCTATCTTGGACATGATGACCTTGATAAGGAAGCCAGGGAGAAATTTGGGATGTTTCTGCTTTCTCTCTTCTAGGTCGATCGCTTGCTGAAGTCATCTTATAGAGATTTAAGGAATAAGGTTTAAATATACTCCAGAGTAGCTCAATAATATAAGAATATAACAGCTCTGCGCTTGATGTTACAAAAAGAGCCAGTATTGTTTAAATTGCAACTCCAATTTAACCTTCTTTTTTCCCCTGCAAAACTTCCTTCTAGTTGTAATAAGCTAAGAAAAGCAAACAAAAAAAGAAAAAAAAAAGGAATACCAACTATTTTACTTTATCCTATTAAAAAAATATATTGTGCAATTCAAAATGTACCAAATTATATAATTTAAATCAGCAGGATTAGATGTTTAGCACATAATGACTTACTGATTACTTTAATAAAAAAAGTACTTAAACACCTAATACCCATGTTTTTCTTCCCCGAAATTCCCTACTATCAAAAAAAAAAAAAACAGTAGGGTTGGGTAAACTCTTTCTCATTTTCTTTGGGTGCTTAGCTCTGAGTTTAGTTGAAGGGCCAGCCAGCTAGAATGAGCTTGGGTTCTTTTCTAGTTTTCCTCAATAAATGGACCTTTTGCAGTCGAAATATGCTTTGGCAGTTTGGCGGAGGCCGCTTTGGAAGCTCAGACGCACTGCGCTAAACATAAATTATCTGTGGACCAAAAGAATAAAAAAGATAATAATTTCTGAATTTGAAAATTCAGTTCTAACTAATAATAAATGTTTAGTTGGACAATAAT